GTGATAGGAAAAAAAAAGAATATTATTTTCGAAATGCGCATAGCTGAATTATGCAAAATCCGTTATTAAAACCAAAACAACTTTTATAAAGTTTAAAGTCGCAGGTCTGTGTTATTTTGACAAAAGCGATCATTTTTAGTTGTTGGTTATATAGAAAAAAAGTCTTTTAAAATACCTTTTTTTTTAGTAATTAAACCTTTCGAAAATTAGTTTGATAAGAAACAAGTAATTCAAGCTTTCATTCCGTTTGGCAAGATTTTCTGCGTCATCAATTTTATATCTTGCTATTAATAATTGCAATAATGATTTAACTCAGATTTTATTGGCTAAATATGTTGAGCTATTAGATCAATATGAGAAAAATGTATTATTTAAAAATTATCCTTCCATTAAACAAGAGGGAATCCCTAATAGCCGCGGCTTGAAATTATTTTAGACAGGATTAGAATAACTTAATCTATTAGACCTTTTTTCTTTTTATTAGCTATATTTTGTGCGCCAGCAATACCAAGCGTGGGGCGCACGTATACCCGATTCAATTTTATTACTCATTAGGATCTCTACCAGCTTACGATGATATCAACAATAGACGATCAATGAGCTCTAAAGCTTAAATCTAATAAAAGGCCAACTGGAGCTAGGAAATCAATAAGTACAGAAAACTTAGTTATAAGACACTTAAATTCTCTAGAAATTACTCACAGAATGGCTCTGAGTTTTTGTTGTTTTTTCCTTGACCGATTTGAGATCTAATTACAGTTTTTGACTCAGAAAGTCAAACATTTTCGTTTGATGTATTTGACCACGCCCAAGGTCTCGTAGATTAATTTACTCTAATCCTGCCTAAAAGATTTTTTTTTCTAAATAAACAATTAAAAATTATCTAAAATCCAAGAAAATAATAACTTTCGTCAAAATAATTTCTCTCTATCACGATTCAAATTCGTATATTCTCAACCCATTAAAATCTTAGTTCTCAATAACAGTAACATTTAGTAATTACTTTTAACATCGATTTCCTGATAATTGTTTCAATGTGAAATGACTTAAAGGGGCAAGCGTAAGCCTATGGAAAGTGATTGATCAGCTGATATATGTTTCGTTTGTTTGTTATAGTGGATGCGTTATAATGGGACAGTCAGTCCCACTATTCGTTGGTAAAAGAATATCCCAAGAGTTGGCGGTGGTTGATGATGACTAGAGAGAAGGCATCACCTCTCACTCTTGGACTACTATTTTACCAACGAATAGGGGGATTGAGCGTCACATTATAACGCCCCTACGGTTAAAAGGGGCGAGCATGTTTGGTGGGATGGGGATTCGAAACCGCGACCCACAGATTGTGAGTCGAGCGCCCTATCCACCTGACCATGCCAGGCCTAAGATATGTTTCATCGTTTCCTATTCTCCAACAGATGAAGGTTTCTTATGTAGTGATTACTGACCCCGAAAGGACGGAAGAATTACATTTCCCATAATGCCTCAAATGAAGAATACTTTGCCCAACCTTGCGCTCATCCCTTTAAGGTTTTTCACTTTTTTATATTTTTGAATATATAGATTTTTGTGTGTGCAAATGTACATATAGACTAATTGTTTATTCCTCATGTAATTCCAGAGATCCTGGATTTGGAATATTTCCGAAATGGAAACCCTTTGTTACTAACAAACACGCTTATTACCACTTCAGAAACGTTTCCCCTTACTACACTTTACATTTTGACTATCGACAACACCATTCTGATTTTTGGAACGTTCTGGTTCCTGACTTGCTACATTCCATGACGTCAACAATTAGGAACTTGGAACAAAACTTAGAAGAACCATCCTTGGTTAAAAGTGAGTACAAGACAGCAGCTTGGGGTATGGTAGCTATGGTTCTCATATTGTTCATAATGTGTGTTGCACTAATAGGAGTTGTTGTTACAAATAGGAAGAGAAGAATATGGAGGGCCTTTACTTTAATCTCATCATCATTTCAAGACATATCGCAGTTGAAACACGAAAAAGAACATTCAGATGTGCCAATAACATTTTGATACGCTAAGATTTAAAACACTTTATTAACTATGAAGCTGACTAATTTGAAAGTATAAAACCATTTCATTTTGTTTTTTTTCAATTACACAATTCATAGAGCTATTGCGGAGTTTCTTAAAACACAGATTCCACGAAAAGGTTTACGTGGAAGCTCCCGGTAGTGGCAGTGAGTATTCGTGCAGGATTTTAAATATATGAGTGTATGTGTTTTCTAATCTGTATCATTTTCAGAAAATAATCCCTAAATTACAAACGAAATAAAACTAACAGAATACCAAAGCAACTATCAAAATTACAGAAAATAAAAAGGAATTGTTCAAAAAATTACAACCTGGATATTATCAGATGTCAACTGTAAAATCTTAAACACAGGCAGGTGGAAATTACTATAATGAAACAAGCTGTCAGGCTCTTCACAAAAGTGATTTAGGCAAAGTATGCTGTGTGATATCAATAATGATCAAATAAATGTTAGGAAGAAGGACAATAAATTTAAAACTTGAATTTATATAAAAAATAAAATCTGTAAGTTATAGAAGTGTTTAAAATTTGCAATATGGTAACAATGTTCAATCAAACTTCGTAATAAAAATGCAGTGTTCGATATAATGTTATGCAGGCCATTGATTCTGTTTATTTTGATTTCATGGTTACAAATTGATTTGTAGATTTTGGGGGAAGAAATTGTCACTGATGTATTATTAAAAAGAGGTTTGTAAGGTACACAATAAAGGAAGAACATTTTAAACACGAGTTTCGTTTTCTATATACCAGGTATATAATAATTTTTATAACGAACACTTTGGATTGAGAATATCAAAAATTAAATGCTTGTGATGTAAATCCAAATCGTTTTATTTTTTGTATTCGTAGCTTTGGATTTTACCCTCAGTAACATCTATGAAACCGAATAGCTGGGACAGTTAATATTAGGTTTGAAGCTAAAGAACAATCTCTTAACTCTCTATGGAAAATTAACCTGTGGTACAAAGTTCATTTACTAATCAAGATAAAATATTCAATAATTAAAAGAAATTCCAAAACTTTACATCACCCTCTTAATAAAACAAAAAGTTTCTAGACAACAAAATATCTGTATTATCTGCTACAATACTATTATTCATTCAATAACTTTTCATTTACACAATTTTTTGCTGTATTATTATTATATTCACAGCGACATTAATTTATCCATGGATGCAAGCCACCATTCGACTTGGCCAATCAGTGAGTATGTTAAAACAAATCATTATGTCCATTCAAACAGTTACTTTGGCCGATATGGCCTAATGCTATATTTATTTTTCTATCCACTTTATCATCTTAAAGTATAACATGATAAATCAGTATTATAATTATAGTGGAAGATGATCACATACACCTTTTCTTCTAGCGACATATCATCAAGCTGAAGTTTTATCACGTTAAAGTAGATCGATTCAGATTTTGGTACTAAGTTAATATCTAGTTTTGTTAGCTTACTGAACACTTGACTTTCACGCGATACAATCGAAGCACCTGTTGCTCAGATTTTCAGTCTTAATGGAACTGAAGTTCGGTTTAGAATAAGCTCTGGTCTTAAAGCCTTGATGAAGAAAGTTTCTTGGACCCCAATCATCTTCCCACAGTCAGCTGAATCGTTGACTAAAAACTTATTGCCATGAACAGGAATACCACAGTTTCATGCGAGCTCAGATATAGATGACAGCACGTTGACTGTTCTTATGAAGTGTTCCAATAGATGAACCAATATAACATATTTTACAGCAAAAATATGGATATTTATAGATGATGAGGGAACGTTTGAGTAACATAAGTTCTGAATTATTTTCTGAGTTTAAAAATCATTCTCATATTAATTTTTCGATAAATTCTCTTGATTACAGAATTGAGGAAAACAACAACAAAGGCGATTGTACATTTCACAAAACTTTCATTTGTTAACTACCATGGTTTAGCCAGTAAAGACATCCTCAATTCTGTAATTATGGCGTTTCATCAAGTACCGACGGTTACAATTATCAATAGTGTCAATTCTCTTGATTAGTTTTATTTTTTACCGAATCTGTACACGTGACTAGAGATGGTAGCGCAAAGGTCAGATGTCATTATAGAACATTTAGCACCAGATGAATGGGGTTGACAACTTTCTTCAAAATCTTACTAAACACAGTATCAAATAAAATGAAATGGAAGTTCATTTTTCATAAAGAGCGTCTGATGTTTTTAATCTTTCTTTGGAAAAATCTCTGAGATAGCTAGTTTCCTTGCTCTGTGGTTGAAAATATGAACAAAATTGTTCTTGGACTGTTCTGGGAAATAAAGCTTTCAAAACGGGAATATAACCCAGAAAAAGGTTTTATTGTGAAAGCAATTAACTTGAAAGAATCTATAGCTAGTGTCTACGACATAAAAAACAACAACTGTGAATGACTTTGTTCTTCAAAGGTGAGTTGAATACTGGTATATTGCTTATTCAGGTGATAAAGAATCTGTTGTGCTTGGGCTTGTTAATCAAAAACCACAAATTTATCTAGTCTGAATTATTCTGGACAATTTTCCAGACACATTTATTCTTTTATTCATAAAAAAAGATTGGCCAAACAAGGATCCAACTTTGGCCCCATCGAAACCCAATCCATTTTATCATACAATTCATTGTTAATAACAAAACAGAATTGTTTTATAGCGAATTAAAAACTGATTTATTCAATACTTCTACATTGTCAGTATTTTGATAAACTAAATCACACGTTAACTGTAATACTTCATTTATAGGTAATTTGGTGAAACAGGAAGTAATGTCAAAACAAGCACAATAAATAGGTTTATCAAATTTTAGGTTTTTGCAAATAAAGAAAATTCAAAATTACCTTTAACTATGTATTTTTCCTGAACATTTTCCTTCGAAAAAGGCTCTAAAGATCCAGCTAATTTATGATTAATAGTACCAATGTTGAAAACTATTGATCTTATAGGAACACCTGTTTTATAAACCTTTTATAAACCATATAATAGGGTGAACTTATTGGTCTCATGCTATTATAAGTTCTATCGTTAATGAAATCTTCTATTATCATCTTTTAGTTACTTAAATTTACTCGAGTCTTTAAAAAAAACGTAGTGGTATAATCCTGTTTATTTGTGATTACGATGCAATTATCTTTATCCGATTTTACAATGATGATATCTTTGTTGTTTTAAAGTCTGTAAAGCTACTGATTCTTCTCTAGATGTATTGTGAACAGTGTATTTGTAATTATAATCATGAAAACATTATAAAGCAAAACCTGAAATCAAAGTACAAACACCTTGAAATCTTGTATCATCTGGCCAAATAAGGGACTCTTCTAAATTCCTTAAGAATAATTCTAAGGAAGTAAAAAAATTCTACGAAATGAACCTTTTCTCCACGTCGCTCAACCAATAATCAGAGAAATTATAAGGCATTAAATAAGGTTATTCAATAAAGGTCATCACATTACACTGAAAACATATTAATTTATGTAACTTTTGAGTTCTCTTCAATTAGAGGATTTAACTGTATAAAGTCTAGAAATATTATATATTTTTTATACAAACTAATTCTTTTTTCATACTGAGATTATAGACGATTTCTTATTAATCTCAACATTCAGAAAACCTTTTCGTGCAACGTTATATTATTTACTGTTTTTTACTAATTTGGAAGAAATTCTAAGTTACAAAAATAGGAATGACATCAATTTTTTTGTAGTTTCAGAAAACTTTTTTACCGTTCTTAACTACGTTAAACTAATTTGATCCTATCTTTCTGAAAGAATTCAAAATACAGATTGTTATGTATTAGAATTTCAAATAGCCTGAAATTGACTTAACTGATAAATTTAGATTTGGTAGTTAAATTCTACTTTGGATTTAGTACTTAAGTAAAAGCCGATATATGGTCAGTTTATGATATTTGCCAACAAGAGTGATACACACAGTTTTCTTTTTTAACATAAATACGTTTTAATATACACACGAGAATACAATTTACAATAACAGTTATTACAAACAATTATTTATAAGCAAAAGTTTCACAAATTTTCAAGCAGTATAAAGTCTTTATTCGAGTCTGGAACTTCTTCGATATATTATCAAGTGTTCACGATGAGCGACTTAATTACAAGTTGATGTAAGTGTGATTCGCCGGGGAGTTAGCTAGCTTTGTCCTTCGTTATTCACCAGTCACACACGCAGAGTTTTCCACAATGAATTTATATAATGTTTTCATAAAAATGCTAATATGCGATGAGAATCCACTGAAGTTAAATTATTTGTAATGTTCGAACTTTGTAAAGGTTCCTGGTCAAATATATGAAGTTTTTCGATTGATAAGCGTTATAACAATCACAGTTATAGCTTCCAAAGTTGAAAGCACACTGACTACAGCAGTCTAGTAATAGATATTCTTCTTTGGCGCGTCGCGTTAGTTATATTTATAGGCGTGTGGAGGGTTTCCAGAAAATTCAGATTTACGTAACAATACTGAGCTACATTTAAGCGTTTACGTACATACATATGTTGTTGATTCTTACTCTCGAGAATCTTCTACAACTTTGGAGAATAGGCGGGAGTTTCGCAATACATATCTAACACTACAAGCTATGCATGTTTTTAACATGAAGTTAATCTAAACAAACTTTGATATTAAAATAAATATATAATAACAAATTCGTTACACTGATTTATAATAAAAACGTAAAAAATAAGAACATCAGATGTTTTTAAACATTCTAACAAATGCTGTTAATGATAGTAACATTAAAGAAATAGTAGCATATACCTTACTTAAGAAACTCTTAAACAACTGTTAACTTCAAGTAGTGTGGTAGATTTAATATTCGTTGAACAACGTTAGTCAGTATAACCTTGTACAAACAAACCTTTTCACAATCTTCCTAAATGCCTTGTGACTAATGAAAACCCGTTACACAACTCCAACAATGTAACTTTAGAGGAGCCTAATATCTGAGATAAACTGCTACTACACAATTTACTGCTTTGGTGTGGAGTCAAGTAGTGGTACATTAACAATAGTACAGCTAAAAACTAATGTTTATGGTAATATAAAATAATAAATAAAATGAATATCTGAATAATACAATAAATATCTAGAATAATGGAACTCTAATTAAAGTATAACAACGTTAAATCTAATAAAAAGAAAAACCATATATTAAACATACCGTTACGTTTCCGTTTGTTAATTGATTTCCCGTAAATTCGTTCCGACGAAACTTTAGCGACACAAGTCCTTTCTTAAATAAAACTGGTTTATTCTTTCTGAATATAACTTTATGATACACTTAATTTCAACAATCGCTATAACAACGAACGTTAACTTCAACAATACTCTCTGACTGCACATCAATTACTCACTACCTACACACTGTCCCGTCACGTTGTGACCATCTTATATATATATATATATATATATA